TGAAATAACTCTTTGCAACACGAAAGGAGACACTTTTGATATATCACGCTCTACTGATTCTATAACAACAAAAGTTGGAAATTGATCTTTTTCTATTTCATTTTCGCTTTCAGAAGTCTCTTCGTTCGCTTATAAGAGATAGCCATATAATTTTAATTTTTGTATTCGCTGTCTGTGCTCCTTACCCACCTCGGAGTTCCTACTTAAGGCACACTATCAGGGGGGAATAATCCCATTCGCCCTAATCTGCCAGGGCTACACAGACAGTATAGTTGTGATGAGAGTGGATACGAGCACCTGCACTCCCCCACCATATCTACCCAAGTATGATGTAAGGTTTTGTACCCAGGTAGGTACCAAAGTGATGTGTTGTGGAAACTCCTGGTCATTTTATACCAGATCAGGAGTCACTCAGTCATCAGGAGTCACTCAGTCACCAGGACTCCAGCATCACGGGTTGCCACCCACGGCAAACAGGTGGCCCCATTTAGGGGAAATTTTAATTTTTTGAAATCAGGTTTTGTGAATGTTTATATACTGCAATTTGTGTTGATGGTATTATTATTACAAAAAAAACATTCATTCCTAGTATTCAGACTCCAGATTGAGGGGGGGGGGGCTATTTACCTATAGCTTGACCCTTGAACAACAGCAACTAAGAGGCGGTTCCATATTTCTCAAAAACTCCTGATCAGAGTCCTTGCTGCTGGATGCAGTTTATCATCATACCCAGGATGGAAAGCTTTTAGGACTCATTCGCAATTGAATGAAATTATTATTATATTTCTTTCTAAAGAAGAAACATTTCAAAATTTTTTTTTTTTTACATCTGTTACTCCACATTTATTTAACTTTGTGAAATTTTGAGAAATTCATTTTTGTAGAGCTTAATGTTTATATCAGCACAAGGCAAATTTAATCAAATGTTTTTGTCAAATAGAACCCCCAATTACAGAAAATTTGCTCTGAATCATAAAATAATGCAATAAAACTAAGATATTGTTTAATTCATAAAAGTTTTTAATTGCTTTTATGAATAAGATATGTTATGGACAAAAACATTATTTTCAGTGAATAACGAATTTTTACAAACATTGTTTTAATTTCTAGAACTTTTAATTATAATAATTTATAATTTTAAATCTTTTAAAATTCTGTACTAATTTTTAGTGGTTAGGTGATATTGATATTAAGTAAAAACTATATTTACTTATCATAAATGGAAAAGATTACAATTCAGTGACTCCCACTATTTTAAAAAGTATTTTGAATTTTTTTTTGTGTATATATGGTGATTTTCATAAATATGGACATTCATACACATTAATTGAAAATAAGAGTGGTAACTATAGTGAATTTAAAATTTCTTGGTAATTTTTTAACATTTCCTTAACAAGTGTCTTCATAAGTAAGACCATAAATCCAAAGTACCTAAAAATCAATAAAATATTATATTAATTAGTTATTTTCCTAAATTTTTAAGGTTACAGGGTAGTTAAAAAATTATATAAAAAAGTGCATACATTGTATTAAATAATTATTACAGTTAAATGTTAAAAACACCAAACATCAGGTTATTAAGAAATTTGTCAACACCTCTTAAAAACACCCATGTCCATGTTAAAAACGTTTTTCTGCAATATTTTAAACTAAAAGTAAGCAATGCTTGTTTTAATTCAGGTTAATTAAACTTTAAACCAGTTAATCTTCAAGTTTCAGAAAAGTATATTTTATTTTTGAAAGTTCTTTTTTATATAGTGTTGATAGAGTTGTCTATTTAGCAGATATTAATCATTTTTAACAATTTAAATAATAAATCATTCCATTCAATTTAAATTCAGTTTGAAATACTGTAAAGTATTTTTCTTATTGTAAATATTAAATTTAATCTATTAGTTTGAAATTAAAAATAAAATAAAAGCTTCAAGAAAGATTTTTCAGTTTTAAAATGCATCTCAAACCTTAGGTATCACTTTTCTTTGGAGACACCTTTATATATTTAAAAATTATTTATTTTATTTAATGTACATTAATAATACTATTAATGTTTATATCTGTTATAGATTATTCATGTTATAGATAATTTTTTAGAAATTTGTACTATATTAGCTTGAGACAATATACATTTTTAAAATTTTCCTTTGTATGCATTAAATCAAAGCGGTAGAATGTCAATTTCAATCCAATATGAAAATTTGTCTTCCATATTATATGATATGTTCTCTCTGTTCAGCTTTAAACCATAATCATGATAATGTGTCTACATGAGGAATAGTACTTCATTTTATACCAAAATCAAAGGCCATGAGTTTTATGGCACATCTTAAAATTCTAGAAGATGTAAGTTTTTGTAATTTCTTCTTTGGATTAAAAATAAATTCTAAAGTCTTGTAATCGAACTTCAGCAAAGATTTTCTACCCAATAAGAATTGGCAAGCTCTAATAGTGTTCCATATGATCAGTGAAGCCTCTTTTTCTATGTTTGAATGTTAGATTCTGGATTTGTTAATTTTCTAAAAGAGTAAATTAAATAAACTTTGGCCCCAAATTTTCACAAAGGGTTTTTTTTTTAGCAAAGGCATTTTCTAAACGCTCAAAGTCCATTTAAATTCAACATTTTTTTTACACAAAATAGAAAAAGGCACATTCTATTCTGAATAGTTTGGTAAACATCTATTCTAAAAATTGACTAAACGCAAAATTCTTTTTCATTGATAGTAACAGACACATTTAATAGTTTTTGTATTAAACTTAGGTCTAGTGAAATATCATCTTTTGAAATTTGATTTTAAAGATATATTTTTTCATAATTCTTATTAATGGTCATGCTAGCCATTCTAAATCTTATTTATTACATCACTGATTTTGGATTCCAATTCTTTGTTGGTATCTTGATATATTATTGTTATATTCTATGCTAATAGGAATATATACTTGAAAAACACAGTGGATAAAATAAGTAAAGGTTTATTGTAAAAACCAGTACAATAAGAAATATGGTAACAGTTATGCACAAGGTTGTCACAAGTCAATTCAGCAGTGAGTGCTACTATTGTAGTTCTTGCGTAAATTCAAGTCATACTCAACAGATCCCAGCTAACCTCTGTAGTCCATTGACTTACAGATACTTATAGGTAGTTACTACTTATAATGTAGTCACTCATGGGGGTGACAGGTTATTCCATTACATCAATTATCATATTTTAATGTCCACACTTAACTAATTTCTATTGTTTGCGGAAATACAGTACTTGGTGTTTTTACTCCATAAGACATTTGGATCCATCTAACTAATACCTATGGGGGTGTTAATAATTGAGATTTCCTTAAAATTATCATCAGTTTGGATTTGTTGATAAGCAATTTTAAAATCAATTTTTGAAAAGAATTTCATTTTAGTTAACGCATGTAGTGCAGAATCAATGCTTGGAATTAGATATGAATCTGAACAAATCTTATGCTTCATACCTAATTTATAATCTTCACAAATATGTAAAATGCCATCTTGTTTTCTCAACTAATGACCATTTGTTCCCACCAGAGGTAACATGTTTTAAAACGTCTTGTTTTGCAGTTTTTTGGAATTTTGATGCAAAATGTGACTTATTAGCTTGTGAGATTCAAAATATGAGGAGTTAACATTTTCTTTCAATTTAATATTTGCTTTGTAATCTTTTAACATTCAAGTTTCTACTGAATCTGCAATTATTGTATTAATTAATCATGTAACATTAAGAAACATTAATTAACATTAAGTACATCAGTTCCCATGAGGACAAATTTTCTTACAATCACCAACTACAATGGGTACTATTTTAAATCAAGTGCCTGTTTCAAATGTCCTTTCAAAGTATCCCAATATAATTATGCTCAAAACCATCAATTTACTCTTATTTAATTTGGGCTTACCAATTTATTCCCCAAAATTGAAAGTGACTTCATTACCAGTGTCAATATGCATAGGCAAGGTTACACTATTGAGTTTGACTTTAACTAATGTATTTCATTTTTTTATGTAGTGACAAATTGGCGGTTTTGACATCTGGATTTTCTTCCATTTTTTCAACAAGTTCTATACTTTTCTTTTTAAACTTACACACTGTTTGAAAATGATTTTTCTTTTCACATATTTTGCATAGTTGTCCAACTGCTGGGCACTTTTCTCTTTTTTGTTCATGTTTGTAATTACAATATTTGCACTTTAGTTTTGTTTTCTTTACCATCTTTTATCTGCAATTTCCTTTAATTTTTTTAATCAACTCCTGTTGCTGTATAATGTCAATTCATGGATTCAGTGACATTTTGCACAATTGTAATTCTTCCAACATTCTACCATCAATAAATCTTAACTCGATTAATTCTTCTTCTCTGATTCTTTTGATTTCATAGTATCTGCTGACCTCTGTTATTCAATGTAAAAAATTTTATAATTGGTTTGTTGGCCTCTAGTTTTAAAGATATGAACTTAGTTTGTTCTGCAATAACCAATGTCTTTTTTTGGACTAATATTTTTCTTGACTATCTCATTAATTTCCTTGAATGTTAAATTTTCCATTTCTTTTGGATATATCATTAATGAAATTTTCATGATTACTTTGCATCCTGCTAAAGCTAAAAATAAATCAGTGATTTCATTTTTGCTTCCCCTGACTTTGTTGCCATTTAACTTCTTCAATCAATTATGGGCTGTGAAACATTGTAACCACATTTCAACAAAATCAGGTTCATTCAAATATAAATAAAGTTCCTAATAGTGTTGTGAAGTGTGATATTCTAGATTCTGCATTAGAGTAAACTAAAATACTATCCAATGGCTGGCATTAGAGATTCTTTGCAGGAATTGTTGATTTAGCACTCAAATCAGACAAAAGTCACAAAAATCTAATGTAATTGTTGAGATACAATTTCTTAACACTGAATAAGCATTGATAAGGATTAATTTTTTTTCAATAAGAATGCTGAGAGAAATGATGAAAGAACAAAAAATTGTTAATTCTTACCTTTTTTTGATAATCATGATCATGAATGCCAATCATGGGTTTCATAGGTATTGGTTCTGAGGTTTTCATGTGGGTCAAAATTGGTGTGCTTGTGGACATGGGGATGTGACTGGACGCCAGGACACTGGATGAGGGCAAGATATTTGTAGTAGAGGGTGGAGTATTTGTAATTTGGGGCAAAGACTCAGCATTGTTCTCGACCCCACTTGCGTCATCAACCACTTCAATTTCAGTATAGTAGAATTCTTCCTCTCCATCTGATTCTGAATCTTCTCTCCTGTGAAAAAAAATAACAGAAAAATATCCCAAAGTTTACTTTATCATTATAAGTCAAGAAATTTTCTTCCATTTTTTCAGTGTTAAAAATAATGTCATTGTTTTACATAGAAATATTTTGTGGTTGATTATTTATTTGCATATACAAGGTTAGTCTTATTGAGAATCAAATAACTATTTATGATTAAAATTTAAGGATCAAAATTTTAATCAGTTATTAATTCTAATTTGTAATCAATACTGTAACACAAGAGAAAATGGCTTATCACCTGGACGAAAACGGATTCAGACGTGTCTCATGTGTAAAAAAGAAAATGTCAGCTTTAAGAATCATATATTTAAGATAGATCTCAGAGTCAGACACTTTTGTGAGACTCTTTTCCACCTGTGCAAATTAGACCTATCACTCAATCTATAAAATGTGCTTAATGAGGCGGCAGAGTAGTGCGACTGTGGTAGCAAACAAGAGACACATGCATTGGATTGTTTGACTTATGCTACACTGTTTGGTGAAAGAAACAAATTAGGGAATTTATTACCAGCAAGAAGAAACTGACTACAAATACCATTAGAAAAAAATATTCAAGATAAGCAAGTGGAAAAATTACCTTAATAGATAATATTGAACTAAAGTCATACTCAGTTTCTCATAGTAAAACTTGCAAAAAGGTATGGATCTAATTGAAGTGATCTGTCAGTATTTATCAAAACATAATTCCTTTTATAATTGTGATACTTTATTTTGTATATGACACGAGATAGAAATGGGATTTGGGTGTTACAAGAATAGCTAACGCTTTTTAATATAGATAAACATGATTTTTTGATGTTTTTTAAGAAAGTTTCTCCTTAAAAATCGCCATTACTGATTCATAAAAGCAATGACACACATAATATGTGAAATAGGATATAAAAGGAAATAAGGAGGATTAAAAAGAGTTAATCAAGCAGAAAAACTAATCATTTTAAACCTCTCCCTATTGATATTTGCATTTAATCATATAATGAAAAAAATTAAAATAAAACAATTTCTAATTTCTATTTTTAGACGCATATATTACAAAAATGCAAACAAACATTAATAGTGAATTTGCTGGGAAATGTGTCCCGGCTTTTCGGCATCAAAGGGAAGAGGTTAAAAAATTGTGACAAAATGCAAGTAAAAAGCAAGATTAGAGCGGACAAACTCTCTCTTTTAGGTGCAGAAGAATAAAGAAAAAACTCCTGCTCAGTGTGCGACAATAAAAGAAAGTGTTTATTTACATATACAGAAAAAAAGGGTAAAAGGATAGAGACAATTAGGAGAGAAAGAAAGGGAGGAGAGAAAGTCCTTTAAGGGAAGAGAAAATGTTCATAACATAAAAAAGGCTTGCTCAAAATATTTCTCTGAGCACTCAAAAGTTCTTTAAGTGAGTAGAATTTTGTTAAGGTTTAGAAACACTCACAGTTCTTGTAGAGTAGGAAAATGTTGGTACATATAGGAATCTTGAAGTTGAGTGAGATGACGATAGAAGTTCAGTGGGCATGACAAAAGGAGAGGTGAAGGGATGCAGCTTTCAATTGGTCTTGAATTGTGGGTCAGCATTCGTTCTTGACAGCCCTTTAGTAGTTAGTTCTTCTTTGGTTGAAAGTCATTCTGAAGTTGACTGGAGCTTTCCTTCGTCAACCTTGCAGACGGTGGGATGACTTCTCACTGCCAAATAGGCATAGATTCTCCAAATTTATGGAGATTTGGGAGGCTCAGAAGAATCAGGGACTTTTCCCTCTAAAATTGTTATACCTCCATTGGTCAAAAAACACATCACGGCTTTGGGATCCAGTTTTGCAAGTAATGAAAACAGGTTGGAGTGAACAAGATGTGAAGGGATGCAGCTATCAATTGGTCATAAATTGTGGGAATAATGTTGGAATTCTTGACAGCCATTTTTGAGGTGGATTCTTCTTTGGTTGAAAATATATTCTGAAGTTGATGTGAGCTTTCTATTGGTTTTGACCTTAAGAAAAAAGGCTGACTTCTCATTGCCAAATAGGCATAATTTAAACAAATTGTGGAGATTTGGGAGGCTCAATTAAGGATCAGGAACTTTCCCTCTAAAATCATTATACAAATTTATTGTAGTCCCCTCCATTGGTCAAAAACACATTCTTATCTCTGATAAGAATCGGAAGTCTTTGGGATCGGTTTTAAATTAATGAAAAAAGGTTGGGTGAACAAGCAGTGAGGTTTCCTCCCTTTATGGCCCCACTTGGAAAGAATAATGCTGTTGTGGAATTCCTTTTATTTTTCCAGCTCTCTTGTTAGAAAATATATTTCCTATGTTCTTATCTCTGATAAATCAAGGATTTGAACCAGTTTGAAAGTAAAAAAGAATGGTTGGAATGAGGATAGAAAAAAAAAATAATTCATGTGAACTTAAAAATATTGTTCTCAAATTAAATTCCAACAAATTAAACTCCAAAAGAAATGGTATTATACAACTAATCTAAGTGTTACATGTTACAATACATTACATAATTATATAAAAATCACATTTCTTAAAATATCCATTCATTGACTTTATGGGTGCTCATGAACACAAAGTTTCTCAATCAGAATTTGAATTTGGCTCACCAATTCCATTTTCCATTCTATTAGATAATCTGAACCCCCACTAAATGTGTTATCTTGACATCTGTTGTGACATGGAACAGCTACAGTTGCATCAAGAACATGACATAAATAATAAAGCACAACAGGAAAACAACCAACAAACCATCTGAACAGATTAAACCCACATAGAACAAAGAACAAATGTCCCTTAAATGGCTTGCAGAACAATGTAATATAACAAGCCACTGTAAGTCAAATTGAATAATTCGCTGAAAAAAAATAACATAGAATAACTCCACAACTCTGAATCAAAGAAACTACAGCATCCACATCGCTTACAAATAGTAAATACCGTGAACTTTTGAAAAAACATTTCTGTTAGAAATTAAAACAAAAAACAAATGTTTGTATACCAAAAAAATCATGGAAAATAAGCAAAACAACATCAATCTAAATAATCAATCAAAACTTTAAACTTTAATTAGAAGAAAAAAATTCTTAATTATTAAACAAAAATTTTACTAATAAATGAAAAATAATCTTAAAATAAACACAAACGCCAATTTTTTTTGTGTTACTTAAAAACTGAAAACTGTCAAAATTTTACAAAAAACAAAATAAATTAAAATAAAATAAATAAACAAAAACAAGTAAAAATAATTTAATCCAAACAAGCAAATAAATAAATAAACAAATTAACAAACAACATGCACACAGATAAACACAAGAAAACATAGTAATAACAACCAACAATAAAATAATAAATAAAAAAGTTAACTAACAACACTATAAATAGCGAATAAACTGATCAACATTCAGATCAACAAGTATTCCCATTTTATAGCTTCTAGAATAATTTGAAACAACTGTTACTGCCCACCAAAACAACCATTAGAATACAATAGACTACCCACAATACATCACTGACATGTATATATAAATAGACAAGCAAGAACACAACACACATGGCCTGACAATTGACTTCAATGTCCACTTTTATAATTACATATGCTCTATCCTAATAAAGCAAATATGCTTTTTCTTAAAATTGTGTTTATCATGTGTATATATATATATATATATATATATATATATATATATATATATATTCTCATAATGTTTTATGTCAATAAATATCAAAATATTAACAGAATTAAAATTTAAAATTTGTCTGAGTACATATAAGCAAAGTAAAAAATATACATTAGCAGAATCAAATTTAAGAGATACATTATTGCATAGATAAAACAAAGTGCATAAAAATAGACAATGAAAGCAGAAATTATTTAGTCAGCGACTTGATCCTAGAATATTTTTTTTAATGAACTACTTACCTCTTGCTTTGAGAGAAATGTAATTTGATTGTTAATGAAGATTCTGGATTCTATAAGAAGTTTTTTTTTAACATGTTATTATGTTCTAAACCTTTTTAAGTTTAACTTCAGAACTTTTAAAATTAAATTCATACACTTTTACAAAAACTTAATTTTGATATTGTGTACTTTTTATTTTACAATTTTGTTTTACTTTCAAATTTGATTACTCAAAATATTTTTGATTTTGGGAATAACTTATTTTAGTTTCTAAATCCTACTGAAATGTTTATGTAATATATTCACTCATTATTCTGTATTAAATGATAGCATAAAGAAATCATTGAGGAATTGAACCATTTAGATCTATTAAAATGAACTCGATTTTATAATCAAAGAATATATATTATTGTTGAATGAATATAAATTCAACAATCATATGAAAAAAAAAATTTACGTCGATCGGTGTAGGTCAAAACAATTATTTTTCAGGGTTCCATTCAGAACAGAAGGGAAGAATGTATTTTCGATAGAGTTTGGATATCTGATCTCAACAAGAGTTTGGTCAATATAGAAGTCATTCTTTTCTCATGACAAAGTTGCAGCACAAGTTTGAATGTGTTTTGTTTCAAAAGTTTTGTCTTGACCAGAAGGATTTTATAAATGGGTTCATACCCATAGTCGTCCGAATTGAAGAATGATAAAGTTTGGATACTAGATTGCACATTCATGTGCTGGTTAATACTGATGCCAAGAATGTCTATAAAAAGGATTGTTAATTTCAAAAATCACAGTTTTAAAAATTTCAGCAAATAAGGCTCCTCTTCAATGGATGACATGAGCAACATTATGTCTACATTTGTACAATGTACTCCCAAGCAATGACATCTACACCTTTTAATTTTTGTATTCTAAAACTTTGCCCTTTGAAAAATATAATTTCAGTTTTTTTGTTCATCAAATTACCAGCTTTGGGCTGGGGAAAGTCAACATGTTCAATGTTATGAGGTTTAATTGTGCGTTTAAAGTAAGATTTTCTTTAAAAAATTGTACTTAGAGAACTCATCTTGAACTTATTTAAAAAATTAGTTTCACAAGAATAAGTGGGAATCCTTTAATAAAGTTATGCAATTTTATGGTTTATGCAACATTTGTCTTTTATTTAAAAGTTTTTATGTTTGCTAAAAAATAAAATTTTTTTTTGCAAAATAACAATCAAATTTCAGAAATTTTTCTAGAATTAAACTGCTAATTCCATTCACTCAATAAATATTAGTCTAAACAATGGTAATTAATTAATTGGAATAAAGAAAAGAAAAAATGTTTCACATTTCTAAGAAGCAAATTTAAAATTTCTAGAATGTAAACATAAAATTTGGGTTCAGTTAAAAAGAATGTAAAAGTAAAAACTGAATGCTGAAATGTTTATCATCATTTCATTTTACCATATAATGAAAACAAAAATAATTATTTTCTCTACATACACACACACATATAACAAAGTCAAAATTATGGAGCAATTAGTAAGGACCGGTCTTACTAACAATGAGGAAAATATATTCTGTATTCAGATAGATGTTAAAATAGTAAAAAATATATCAATGCTTGAACAGAATCTTCAAAAGTAATCAATGATAAAATTTCAATTTTTTTAAGTAAATATCATCAATAGGTTTCACCACGACAGGATCATTTTAATCAGTCTGTTTTTAATGAGATACCTCAGCAACTCAAGCAATAAGAAATTTTATAATTGCATGTTGATTTTAATTTGCCCATATGAATGCTACTTGACTTTTGTCCCTTTCAACTATTGTCACTTGCACCAGCAAAATTATAAACTTTCCATTATTCAAAACATATTTCATAACAAAGGCTTTAGTTCTTGAGATGCTTTGAAGGTTAGTCCATTCAAAACAAACTTTCTAAAACAATGATAGTCATAACCAAAACAGTCATCAAAATGTAGTAAGAGACTATTTCATAAATTTTTAGAGCATTCACTAACTACTTTTTGTGATAGACCTAATGAGATATATGGTATAATTATCAAAATTTTAATATTAGCATTCAACTTTAAAGAGTAGAACTAACAAATAAAAAGATGCAAAGAGAAGACTGGAAAATTACAGAGCCAAAATATTATAGAAAGAATAAATAAAAAAGGAAGACATAAAACAAAAAAAATCTCAACACTAAGATTTCCCAAAATATTACATTTAAAAATAATGCTATAATACAAAAATGTTAAAAAAAAAAAAAAATGAACTATTCCTATCTTTTAAATATTTTTCAAATGAATGTAAGTAGTTTGCCAGTTATATTCTGCATTTTAAATGTGAATGATGTCGGCCTGAGTTTAGTTAGATTATAAAAGCAGTTTTATAAAACTATTAAATTCATTTTAACTCTTATCTTCCTCATTTTCTGTTATATTTTCAGGATAATCAATATTTCACCTAACTTCATTTGAGATTTTCTATATTGTGTTAGGTTTGGAGTTGTCATTTGAAGTTGAGAATGTGCCACATGTTAATGAATAAAAAATACAAGTGTTGAATTTGTTGAGAAAAATAGACAAACAAGAGAGTAGAATAAAAATGACAAAGAAATTTTTATTCTATCAGGAACTTTTTGTGTAGAGAATATTCAAGGATCGTTCCTGAAAGAAAGTGTAAATTCAATGAATGTTGTTATGATAGTCTCTGTAAAAACAATTAAGAAATAGTTGAACTTACTCTGGTGGTGAGTTAAAGGGCGAATGAGGTATCTTGTCTAAGCCATGTGAATCTGTTCCAGAACACTAAATTTAAAGTCCTACTTCAACCCTCACACAAAGCAAGAAAGGGTCACTTCTTGGGATTTACACTACACATGCTCAGTTTTTTTTATGCATGTCCAAAAGCTGAAAAATGGTTGCTGCTGCTGATAGGTTTTCAACACATTCACGTCTGGTGAAAAGGTATAATGCCTGCTATAGACCCCTCACTCTGGATTGATAATGAATATAGTCATCAACAGGTTAGTATCTAATGTAAGTTTTAAAATGTGGAAATAACACTTTTCAACCATATTTTGTTTGTATATTTGGTGTGATGTAGCTGTTTGGTGTGGGTCGTTTTTATTTGTAGTGTCAAGATTGGTTTTAAAGTGCTAAGTTTAGCATTCTATTCCAACCCTTGCACAGTGTGAAAGTGGGCTAGCCTCTTGGGATTCACCCTATACTCTCAGTATTTTTTAAAAATTTGGTCAAAAGGTGAAAAAGGATTGCTGGTGCTGATATGTTTTTTAATGCATGCATGTCTGGCAAAAAAGGTATGTTTGCTACATTTATAATTCTCCAAAGGTTTTGAATAAACTTTGTTCATCATAAATGGTAACAAAGATATTTTGTAAAAATGTTCTTTGGTTTTGTACAAACCTGAGGTGCTTTATTCTAACATGTTTTTCAACTCCTGCACAAGTGCTGTGAGTCTTCCCACACCCTGGCCAGGTGCACTGGAATACTGTCCGAACTTGAGCCTGAAATAGACAAAAGTAAGAATGTGAAGTATAGAAATCTTAATTTAATAAAATTCAATGAAAGTAGGCACTAAGATCTGACATAAAAAACAAAGTTGCAAGCAACATAAAATGAGAGAGATATTAAATAGATCAAAGGTCAATAGACCTCTTTTATGTAAATACATCTCTTTTATCAAACTGTCTTCCTAAAACATACATACCAAACTTACCAAAATGCATAAAATGCTGATGATGGTAACACTGGTTTTAAATTTTAAAAGCCTGACATCACAAAGAACATCAAGTTGTAGAATGAAACTCAAGAAACAATTATATTTATCTAATATTAAAGAAAAAGTATTTAAACAGTATCAAACTGTCAAATATTCACTAACTGATGCTAAAATAATTGGTAATAACACAAAAATAACAATGTCTACTTCTGGAAAGAAACCCAAAGACAATAATTACATAATCATAAATAAGAAACTGGTGTAAAAACAT